AGCCTGTAAAATCCTCTGCTCTTACTCAAGACAGAAGTTCAAGCCTGCTTCTTCTCCTAGAAATCTCAGGGTTCTTGTACTGCTTGTGTTTATCTAGAATCATGAAAGCAGATTTGGTCCCCATCTAAGTGTTCAGATTGTGCTTTCACCTAGGAGTCGATGTGGAAGGATCAATGATTCTTTGTAATAATGGTAATAAGAAAAACAACAATAATTCAATAGTAATGTAGGTTTATGCAGCTAGGAATACTATGATTCTTTGGAATGCCTAAGTTTTTAGATTTAGATGTTGGGAGGGAAGTTTGTGATATGTAATATGTAAGTTACTTCCCTGTCTCAGTTTTGCTGGCCTTGGGAGGGAAGAAGGGCTCTGCTCCAACAGCATGCTGCTTTCCTTGCTGCTGCTTCTCCTTGAGACTGAGGAGGAGAGAATTCCTTTGTGCTTCCTTTTATTTCAAACTGTCTTACTGTACCCCTGGAACAGAGAAATGTACAAATTTTATCTTTCCATTTCTGAACATTTTTTATTCCAGCTCTGTATATATTAATGACTCTCATTATTCTTAGAACTAATTCCAGTTTTGCTTTGTATGTTTGGAGATGTCTAAAATGGTTATAGATGTTGAAAGGGACTATAGTAGATCCATAAATCAACACAAAGAGTGACATCATCTTTTCTATTCAATTATCTTGTCATTTTGGCACCAAACATGTTTTATTTCTTACCTGTTTATTATTTCATGCTTCTGTAGATCTTTAGATATCAAAGGACATAAAATACAGAGGTATATTAGAATCACAGGCACATTGATGTTCATTGAATCATGTTTAATGCTGGGAGAAGTTTCTTCAAGTGAGAGGTGGGGAGAGAGCACTGTGTACCTTAGGCATGATTGCCATCCTGCTGCCAAACTGCAACAACCCTTTGAGAGCTCAGAGTTCAAGGTGTTGAATGAAATGCAATAATTTTCCAGAACATTTTAAATGCCTGCAGGCATGCTAAAGTTGTACCCGGGTCTTTTGAATAACACTTTGCCTTTTTGCATCTTACCAATTAAAAAATGTCTGTAGTACTTTTCTGTGTTGCAATGTAGAATTTAAGTATCAAGTGGTTTTTATTGAAAAAGTTAAGTAACTGTGATTTATTTGGTGGTTTTAGTTTTTTTTCCACTACATTGACTTTATTTCATGTTGCAATAAGAGAAACTGATGAAAGTCTTTCCTGGTAAGTTTTAAATGCAGTGTAAGACATCAGTCAACTTTGTGTGTGAGACATCAGTCATTGAAGCTCCTGTGGTAGCTTTGACACTCATGTGTGAATATGCCTTGTGCTCTGTTTTAGTGTTTACACTTGGTGTCTCTACAACACTTAAAGTAAAAGAAGAAATTTTGATTGTTTATTTGTTTTAATTATTAATTGCACATAACTTATCAACTTGGTAATAAATGTTGTGCTAAAGGGGTTAATAATGATGCCAGAGGTCTACAATGTAGCCTGACACATAAGGGAATGAACTCTTTGATCCCAATGACCTTTTCACAACAAGAATTGTTTCTCTGCTTCTCCTTCTTTCCTTCTAAGTTAAGTTGAAAGAAATATTTAGGTGTTAATTTTAAAGTGGGCATCTCTTGGTTTCAAGTTGTTTTTAAAATTTGGAGTGAGACTGGAAAAGTAGATTCTGAGTCTGCAGTCAGCTAAGCCGTGTAGAGAGCTGGGCTGAGCATGACTGTATGAGAGCTGACATGTCAGCCATGTGATCAGTGAACACCCCCCTGTGAAATTCAGCCAGGAGCCCCCAGCACTGGAGAGATCACTGAAGAGGTCATGGGAGACCCCAATGCCCAGTGACACAGATGAGCATAGTCAGTATTTATACTTTCAAAAATATTAAACAGAAGCTTGAAGTAGTGGAATGCACCAATGAAAATTTTTTTTATTATTTTCTGCAGTTCATGCCGGCTGTTTGACATTAGCATTGCAATATAACGCACGCAGCAGTCTACAGCACGGCTGAACTGACATCCTTTTGTGAGTGTGTTAGTAGTTCAATAGCTCTGTAAATATTGCTCTATGAAAATTACTTCATTTAGTTGGGGTGAAGTAACCTGATAGACCATAAATATTGACATATGGGCAAAAATTCCTTGCAGATGAAGGCAAGTGTTTTATGATACATCACAAAATAAATTTCATTCTCTTTGGTTTAAGATTTTAATCTCATTTTATAAATTAGTTGCTGTGCATTTGGCTATCCTCGCCAAGACCCTGAGATGCAACTTTAATGTTATATGAAACAGAAGAAAAGAAAAAAAGGAAGTATGATGAAATTTGTGCAGCAGTGGTTCATTTAAATCTGTGAAGATTTGAATGGAAATCTTGTTAGTATTTTAGTAGTGATCTTTCAAAGAAAGGAGCTGAGTAGATGTAGTAAACAACAGTTTGGTTTTTCATTAAAATAATTTTCTCAATAATTGAAAATACTTCTCTCATTTGGGTGTGAGAATTGTTTTCTAGGGAAAAAGAAGGGGTGATGCATAATAGGACAAGTAAAGATCTAGTAAAGCCATCTGCAAGTCTCCTTTTGTCACTGCTGACTTTACCCTACTTAAACATTAATTCTGATATTCATTTCTGTGTTCTGCAAATGTATTTGTGTTCTCCCTTTCTGCTTGTTGTCGAATCTCAGTAAAGAACATTTATTTATGGACACATCTTTAAGAAAGCTTTTATTCTGTCTTCTTTTAAATATGTGTATTAATTCACTGATTAAATAAATTCAAAGACACAAGCCTGATGACGTTGTTTCCTAAGATTTGCTGAGAGATACTATTAATTTTTTTTGAGTTAAAGGCTGCTGAAAATAAACAGGTGATTTGTATAATGCTAGATTCAAAAAGACCACATTCTTAAAACCTAAAAGGTTTGTTTTGTTGTTACTTTAGTTTTTTTTTCAAAACTGCCCACAAATAATCCAGTAGTCCTCATTATTCTGGCAGGATAATCACTGCTGAAGTGTCTCCATAAAGCGGTGCTGTTAAACAGCTTGCATTTTTTTAACCTTTTCATTCTTTGCCTAGAGAGGCAATAGATAATCCAGAGAAATGCTTTTTGAAGTTTTATTGAATTCATTGACTTCCGTGGGAAGCAGATCAGTACTTCTTCATGCTACAGCATAGATTAAATCTTTGAGGATTTTAGCTTGGTATTGTGCAAGTAAGAGTTTGGGTTGTTGGTTTGGCTTTTGTTGTGCTTTTTTGTTCTTGTTGTTTTGGCTTTTTTTTGGTTTTGGGTTTTTTTTTTTGACATTACAGAGGATTTTGGAAACTTGGATAGAAATAAGAATTATTTCTTCTTTGATGGTGGATAGTGCGTGTCAGTTTTCCCATGGTGCAGTTGAGAGACACTAGGAATTAGTGGCCCTTTAAAGTCTTGACATGCTTAGATGAAAGGGGAGATAGGCTTTATACACCACTAAAGAATTCCCATATGTACTTTTTAATAATTATGTTTAAAAATCACAATTCACTTTAGTATTAATAAAACCCAGAGTTTATAATATGTCTAGTAAACTGATTTTTCCTGGAAAGGACTTGCATTTATTAGTAAGTCAAATGTTATAAAATCTGAGTGTTTCATATAAGCTAGAAAGGTGTGCTACCTGGGCATGTAAACAGTCATAAATTTAATAAACTGTTGTGTTTTAAAAACTTTTTTTTTAAATCATGTAAAAAATTTCAGTTAACCACTTAAAATTTGGAAGTATAAAAGTAGAAGATTGTTTTCTTAAATGGAAGGCTGTGGAGCTTTATCCTTGAGTCTAAACTGAGCTTCACAGAGGCCAAGAAATGCAAAAAACTTTTTGGAAAATTGTGAAACAAAATGATAAAGGACTGGCTCTTGTTCACAAACTTGAATTATGGCTCTGTAGTAAAGTAAATACTCTCTAGAAACATTTTAAAGAGTGACTAATTAGTTTGACATTAAGTGTTTAAATAAGTGAAGAGTTATAAAGCAACCTTATTTTTGCTGAAAAGAGTGCAAATGGAGTTTGCTGTTGCTTTGTGATGTGTTGCTGTGTGATATGCTTATGCTTTCTCAGATGTTTAAAGATAAAAATTATATTCTTAACTTTATTTTAGCACTTTTCTTTAAAAAACAAAAGCAAAATTTCCAAGCTTTCTTTCTGTCAGAAATGTAGATATTTTGGTTGAGAGTAGAAATGAAACTGAGACATCTTGTTTTGAAAACTGAGGAGTCTTGTTTTGAAAAATATGTGAATAAAATATTATAGCAAAATAAATAGTAATAGAAATGTTATTCTTACTGTAATATTCCATAAAAACTTGAGGTGGAAAAAAACTATTGCTGACTGTCATTTACAAATCAAATGTTTTCTTGCCTTCTAGCACAGCTTACATAAAATATACTGGCTTGGATAAACCTTTCTGCACATCACCTCTGTTCTTTATGTAGCTTGCAGTGAAATTATGTGTACATGTTCTCTGATGAGAATGATTTTCTTAGAATAGAAATTACAATAAAAATTATAGAAGCCTAAAAGTATACAAAAAGGTATAAAACCCCAAAAATTAAAACCACAAGTTTCCAAGAAGCAGAAGAAAGATGTATTTACTATTGAAGCATGTTGGTTTCTCAGAAAAAGAAAAAAACAGCTTAACTACAGATAGACCTTAGGGAACTAACATATTCCTGAAGATGAAAAACTACTATTTTCTGCTGCAATCACTCTCTGCTTTTGATCTTTTAACCTGTTGTATAAAAATGAGTCATATTGTGTTGATGTTTTTCACAAGAATTTTTTTGCTAATGTTTTAGATCTGGGTAGCTCATGCATGGAACTTTGGCAAGTCATACAGAAGTGCTTCTGAAACCCATTGCTGAGCAGATCTTTCTTTCTGTTCCAGGCAGTTAGGGATCAATTGCAGCAATTAGAGATCATTGTAACATATCAGTGGTTGTCTTTCTAATTTTATTATAGGTGAATGTAAGCTGAATGTAGAGAAGACTTCCAAATAAGCTGGACTGATGTGCGCAGAGAAGGAATGAAGTATGGATGTGAAGGAACGTAGGCCTTATTGCTCCCTAACAAAGAGCCGACGGGACAAGGAACGTCGCTATACAAATTCTTCTGCAGAAAATGAGGAATGCAGAGTGCCTACTCAGAAGTCTTACAGCTCCAGTGAAACCTTGAAAGCTTTTGATCATGATTCCTCTAGGTTGCTGTATGGAAACCGGGTAAAAGATTTGGTCCACAGAGAAGCAGATGAGTATACCAGACAAGGTAGGCAAGATGTTTGACTTCAGGATGTATGACTCATTAGTTCCAAGGCATTCTTGCTGCAGAAGAGTTACTTTGCCAGTTTCATCAGTTTTGGTAATACTCTACACACATAGTACACTTCCCTCGTATCTCCATAAATGTTTTACAGAGATGGGGAAGCATTGTGTACCATCTTTGGAATAAATAACATATGATGGACAGGAAGTAAATGGCCTGTGTTGGGCAGTGGGTCAGTGACAATATTGCAGAATCAATTGTGAAGCATTCAGGCCTTACAATTTAAAAATAGACCCCCCCAATTATTTGGCTCATTAATTAATAGGTTGCCCAAAAGTTTGCCATTCCAGTATAGCTAAAACTGTAAATAATCTAAAAATTAATAAAAAGTAAATAAATACAAGTGTTCCATGAAGGCCAAGCCCTACAAATAGATTTGTGGAAATATAGTATGTATGGATGAGCATACAAATAATTTGTTAGCTCAGTACTTTTATATTTTAGCTTAAAAAGGCAGTAGCAGAGTGCTGCTCAGTGATTAAGGTAAATTAGTTCACAATTTGTGCATTTGGGTGTGTTAGATGATTTTTTTAGTGGTTATCTCTAATATATAACCAGATGGTAATAGGTTGCTAAAGCTCACTGTTGAGTTTTTGAGTTCAGGACTGCAGTGACATGAGAAGTCTCAATATCCATCAAGATGCTCAAAACTTCACTAAATGTAGTTCCCTTGCACCTTAGTGCAGCTGACTGTGCTTGAGCAGAAGGCTTGGACTACATGATCTCAAGAGATCCTTTTAGATTTCAGGGATTCTGAGTGAATGAACTCAGCAACAATTATGGTTCAGCACTTAAGCATCACTTTTGGATTCAAAACTGTAGGGTCTGGAATTGATACTTCTACATTTCCACAACTAGGCTACATAATGTAAAGAGAAAAAAAAAAAGTTATGAAATGTGTAGAGTACAGAAGCCCAGCTATCTAAAAGGATAAAGCTCTAGGCCAAGAGCTGTATGAACCTATGACTCAGTTTTCTGTTTGAAGCTATCTCCTATTTTATGCGGAAACAGAAGTAGATTTAGAAATCGTATTTCTGGTGAGACAGTCCTTAGTTTTAATTTTAGAATATCTAAATCATTTTCTCCATTGATGTTTTTTCTCTGTTCCATTTAGAATAACTTTACATTAAAATTAGAGCTGGGCAGATGGTGTTGACTTCTTTGCCGACTAATGTTTGCAAGGGAAATAAAAATATTTCTCTTATGCACATGTAACTGAGGCTTGCTGCTACTCTACTTTCTGCTGTTTGTTTTTGGTTTCTGTGATGTGTTGAAACTTCAGGTTATCACTGTTTTCTAGTTTTTAAGTCATTAGCCACCTTGAAATCATTACTTTAATGAGGTAAAATCAAGAGGAAGTTTTCTAACACCTGTACTGTAGGCACTGTCTTAGTACTACAGTACTAAGTACTGTAGTAGGGATGGAATTATGTCAGAATAGGCACCATTTATTTAATGAATTAATAAACTGTTGCATGACTAGAATATTATTCTTTTTTAAATAGCAATAACAAACTGGAAGAAGTTATGTGGTCTGGCATGTCACATATGATGGTGCACTGGGACTTTATTTTTATTCCTTTTCACTTTCTTCAGAAAAACACACAGTATTTAGCTAATACCTATTGCCCAATATGCAATAAATTGCCTGTCTACAGACCTAAAATGGCAGTCTAGGATGCATAATGCCCTCTTCAACTTTCAGTGGTCTCAGCCCTGTCTTCTGTGCCCATTTAATTTTCCTCATTACTCTTTCAATACTTTTTGTATGGCTTATTGGCTTCCTATACTGCAGACTGGTTTTGCCCCTTTGGGGACTACCTGCAGGTTTGATAGGGTGAGGTAATAATAAAGGGCTTGTTTTAGGCAATATATTCCTTTGATTCATCTTTTACTGAGAATTTACAGCTTCTGGCATTGGAAGGATTTTGTGGAAAAGGTCCTCAAGGTCATTTCAAAGATTTTTAAATAATATATAAAAGATGTTTCCCGTGCGTTATTTTTTTCCCCTCTGCCTAGAAATAGTATTAGATATGTGGCTTTGTTGGCAGTGTAATTGACAGCCTCCTAATTCAACAAGAAATTATTCTGTAAATAAAAAAGGCAACCTTTAATAAATACATTAAATTGGGAATTAATTAAAAAAATTAATCATGACCAGTGTTGCACTTTTTGCCATGTGTAGAACAACAATATGAAATTTCCAGTGTCAGCTGGAAAGTTACTGGAACAGTTATGCAAGATTCTCAAGTATCTTAAATGTGAAGGAATTAAAATTATAAGATCATAGACTCTTCTGAGTTGGAAGAGACCCATCAGGATCACTGAGTTCAACTCCTCACCTTGTGGAGGACACCCCAAGAGTCACACTGTGTGCTTGAGAGTCTTGTCCAAATGCTTCTTGAGCTCTGTCAGGCTGGTGCTGTGACCGCTTCCCTGGAAGCCTGTTCCAGCGCCCAATCACCCTCAGGGTGAAGAACCTTTCCCTAATATCCAGCCTCAACCTCCTCTGACACAGCTTCAGGCCATTCCCGTGGGTCCTGTCACTGGTCACCACAGAGAAGAGATCAGTGCCTGACCCTGCACTTTCCCTCATGAGGATGTTGAAGACCACAAGGAGGCCTCCCCTCAGTCTCCTCCAGGCTGAACGGGCACAGTGACCTCAGCCTTCCCCTCAAGCCCTTCAACATCGTCACTGGCCTCCTCTGGATGCTCTCCAGCAGTTTAATGTCTTTTTTACATTGTGATGCCCAGAACTGTCCCCAGCAGTTCTGGACATCTGTCCCCAGCAGTCTCTGAGCCCAGACCTCAAGGTGAGGTCACCCCAGTGCAGAGCAGGGTGGGACAATTCCCTCCCTTGCCTGGCTGGCCATGCTGGGCCTGATGAAGGACATGGTTGGCCAGGGCACTGCTGAGTCACATTTAAAATGTCTGTATGTTTTTTATGCCTGATATTTTAGGGTAAATCCCTGGAAAGCTTTCTGCTAGTGAATGAGAACTGTCATGTCTCTTCTTCCTGGGTTGTTTCAGTACCCGTTTATATGCTTTCTATTTCCCAAAATCCAGTGGTAGGAATTTAGAATATTGCTGTTAGAGACAGGTGTGCTTTATTTTGTGGTAGCTTTATTCCATGAGATATTTTCTTGTGGAGAGGAGATTGTCCAACTGTCTGTTCCAGTCTAATGATATTTTTCCAGATGAGCTGAATTTCTGTTGCTTTAGATTAATTACATAAATAGAAATATGATCCCCAAAATATATGTTATCATTATAATTCTCAAAACATCATTTAAAACATACTGTAAAGTATTTGAACATGAAATTGTTGTATAACTGGAGACTATCTTGTTACTTTTGAAGCCCAACTGACAGGACTAGAAGAGCAAGTAAGCTGTTTTAGGAAATTGGAACTCCATCTAGTAATAAATGTTAACTGCTTCCAGTTAACATCCATGAGCGATAAGACCAGTCTCCTCTTTTTCTCAAGCCCCTTCACCTGTTGCAAAGATGGTTGTATTTTAAAAATTTCAGATGATGAATAATTAGCCTACTATTTTTAGAACTTTTAATTAGTTATATATTTTCTCTTTGTTTATAAACCTCACAGGACAACCATGTAAGTGGAGGCCATGAGCCTTTTTTTTCTTAAAAGTAATTTCAAGAAAGACACTCAAGTTTGTATTAATCTTTGAGAAGATACCTAATCTCATGCTTGACAATGGCTGAAGCTCCATGAAAAATTGTTTTCTTTCAATTTTTGATATTTTCTTTCAAGTTTTGATATCATAGTCTCCTGTGTTATGGAAGAAGATGACACCTGTTTTCACATACTTTGAAGTATCCAGCTATACAGAGTAGCCTGATTTCAATGTTCTTTTCTGTTTGATTTAAATGTACTTCTCTAATTGAATTCAGCAACCTAAATGCTTGTAGTTAGACAGGGGCCATTGGTGAGGAGTTGAAACTAGATAATTTTTAAGGTCCCTTCCAAGCCAAACCATTCTGTGACTGATTCTATGATTGTGTATTGCATTACACCCAAGTCTCTTGCTCAATTCAAGATTAAAGTTGACAGTATAAAGTTGAATTTCTCTGTTGTACAGAGAGAAGTTCCTGTGTTTAGAAATTTTATATCACTTCCTGTATGAAGTGATATTAAGTATGTAGGAGACTGCTATGCAAAAAATATCTGAAAGCGTGGCATGACTACAGTGTGGGTTGGAAGGACAGTATAAATACAGAAAATAGGCAGTATTTTTAAAATTGCATTGGAAAAAGAATTGAAGTAATATTTTAACAATATTAATATAATTGAAAAGAGATCATATATCAAACCTGGACTCACCATAACTGAAAGAAATTTGTATTAATTTAGTAAGAAAAACACAGGCATTCAAAAGCTGTTTTATTTACCATTGGATGCATGCTAAAGGGAAGAGTGGACTATTAAATATCTCTCAAGTAGTCATTGTTCCACTCCAAAGACTTTTGTAATAGCAGAACAGTGCTGTAGTGGCCCTACAGAGAGATCCATGTATCATGTCAGTGAGATTTTGCACAGGGACAGAAGCTGACCCACAAGCACGGGTGGCAGAAATCAGTGCAGATTTGTGCATGTTCATATTTTCTTACAAAATCATCAAGCACTGTTTGCAAACTGTGTAAATTGGAAAACTGAGCTGTGGGACACCTTTTTCTATTAGAAGACCTGAGGAGGTAGTGCAGATTTTGTTAAATTTTTACTTTATGGAAATTTTGAGTCAAATATGATTTAAACTGTGGGTAAAGTTACTTGGTCTTTTTAGATGGCAGTGAGAATGACTTGATTGTGTTTATCAATCAGAACAGTTCACTGTCAGCCAAGTCTCAAGATCAATTTCATTTCATTGCAGGAGAAACCATTCCTATGCACACTTTTGCGTCTTTACTCTTCTGGAATACTT